TGATCAAACACAGGACAGAAAAACCACCAACTGACACCAGCAGAGTGGGAGAAGAGTTACAACCAACATAACCTCATTGTCTAACACAAGCCAACGCTGACAGGCTCTTGGAAAAAGCAATCATGGCACTGAGCTGCAGAGATGGGAGAACAGCCTGAGAGGTATCTGCAGTACATCCCTCTACTCTGTGCTCGGTGCTCCCGAGGCCTCGGCTGCAGCGCTGCAGCCACACACGGGTAGGTACCACGCTTCAAGACAGGTGTGGACCCCGTTAGCAAAAACAAAGTAAGGAAAGCACAAAACAATCAGTTTTAGAAAAATATAACCTAGAAGAAAACCATTAAAGGATTTGGGCTTGTATATGCTGAAGAGGAGAGGGTTGGCTGGGGCCTGACAACCAGCAGTCTTCAAGCACTAAAAGGTTTTTGGAATGGAAAAGAATAATCTGTTCTTCATGCTTAAAGTTACTGAACCAGAGACAAGAGGCTTAAAAAGTGCACCAAGAAAACACTTTCTGATAGTGATGGTTGCAATAAACCAACTGCTTTGGGTGACAGAGGTGACTTCACTGTTGGCAAACTTAAAGTATTAATTGCTAAACATCTGTTCAGGATGAGGCTGGCATACCTGACCCCGCAGAGGGATGGGCTGCTGGCTCCCTCGAGTCCCTCCCAGCCCCGATTCCCAGGGCTGTGAACGCACTTTGGTGTACCTGACTGTAACAGCACATTTCCATCTCCTGTCAGAGGAGGACAACGGCCTTGTTGTTAAACAACAGGTTTGGCAAAAAGGGGGATCCCACGTGGCTCCTACTGCAGACTTGCTCTGAACTCTGATAAACCACTTGAAAATAAAAGAGACTAAACCCTCAAAGAAATGGGTTTTATTCATTGTCAGGACCAGAATGTGGAAAGGTGTCTTATTTCTTAGGATGAGCACATTTGGAAGGCTGGAAGTTATGACCATCTCATTATGCTACTTGTTATGAACTTGTAAGTGTGCCCCATTAAAACTTCCTTTGCATTCACTCTTGACCCACCAGCACCAGGCAGGGAGGGCTTTTTATGGAATGAGAACAGAGCAGAATGAGAAACAGATACCAGATACAACCATCAAGATTCAAATTACAAGGACTTCTTGACGTCATCAACTAAAAATCATGTCATGAACAACAATCAATAAAAAGTTTCAGCTCTAGGAAATGAGATTTTAAATTAAGCATTAATTTCTCTCTGAAAAGCAGATGCTTCATAAGGCAGCGCATCGGAACCCTTCCATGGCATGGCAGGGAAGATTAATTGTTCCTTATCGACAGCAAACTCTGTTCTCAAAGCAGGAAAGGATGGGCAACTAGAGCACAAAACCCAAGTCCTGTTCCCCCAGAAGGATGCAGGTATCTGGGGTGGGAGCTTGGCAGAACCGAAACCACTGAATGAACTGTGGAACACACAACACGTACTCACTTTGTCACCTGTATGTTCACGTGCCCGTGGCTCTGTCACCACTCAGTGTCAACCCACCCTGACCCGGGTACGCGCACAGCGCTGACCTGCCGCCCAGGAACAATCTGCTGGGCTGGGCTGGCAGAGGGGACCAGTCCCCCCACCTCAGACCAGAAGTTATGGTCACATCACAGAGATGTGGGTTCAACATCACTGAGAGGGTTCAACAACACTGATGACACTTTTCACCTGCTGTTTGCAGACTGGGAATGTTATGATGCATTCACTGCCCAGATAATATATTGGTTAGAAAGATTCTCCTCCCCTTTTAAAAAAGAGTTTTAAATAACTCCAATGTGGTGGCTGAGTCTCTTTTGTCCCACACTCGACCACTTTGGAGCATGAAGAACAAATTTCCACAAATTCCAGGAGGTTTGTTGAGATGGTTGGTTTCCTAATATACCATTGACAAACCCACATCAGTGGTAGCTTTGTAATAAAGAGCATAACATTCTGAAGCATCTGCATGCTACAGCAGTGTTTAAGATCAACATCTAACTATTTACAATTGGAAACTCTAAATAAATATTTACTACCAGTCAAGATAAAAAAAGACTACACATTTTACAGACTTAAGGCTATTTACACAACATGTAAAACACTTGCTGAACAATCTTTTCTTCTTAGATTTTTTTTTTTAAATAATATTTGGGCAAGACAAGTTACATCTCAAAGGCAACATTCACTTGAATGTGGAAAACTATGCTCTTTTTGAATACTAGCAAGATGAATTTTCAAGGGTGGAAATGTTAAACATCAAGCAAATTAGTTCAGGAGCTAAGACGTGGATTATTAATAAGAGAACATGTGATGAAAAGCTAGAATTTGAAAGTAAAATCTGAAGGAAAAGAGAGAACTAGCAGATGTACACATAAACCAGGCAGTTCCAAACATAATGCAAAATAACAAACCAGAAAGTGATAAGTCAATCATGAATAAACACTTAAATGCTTACTTCTAGCTGAATTAGGTACTACTGTGACAAAATATTTAATGAATTTTTTAGTAGAACAGGTCAAAAAAGCCCACGGATACTGATTACAGTTAACACATAATCAGTGCCCAGATCTCCTCTATTGTTCCAGCCGCATCTCCAAGAACTCTAATAGAATAATCATCCCCTCAGCGAGGGTCCCAGGCAAAGCAACTAACAAATTTTTCTTTGAAAGTTCATATGTCTTCATAATAAAGTTGCTGTTCTTCAGCAAGAACTGAAAGGCACAGAGCAGTTCTCAGTTTTGCTCTGGCCTTGTACAGTTACATCACCCCAAATTTATTTCAACCTATTAATACTTTAATTTTGATAATATTTAATACTGGATACTCTGACTGCCTGGTACTCATAATGAAAAAATTATTAATGCTAAATGTTATGAAAAATTCCAAAGAAAGAAAGAGTGGTTGCTTAAAATAATAATAAAAATTATTGGATCTTACATACATCCTTTAAGGAGAGTTTTGAAATGACATTCTGATCCAACATCAGAAAATAGAAAATATAGTAAAAGATTCAACCCCACTGGCTCTTTAAATTTTCATCAAGATGTGACAGACACCCAGTGAATATCTCTGTCAAAGGCTGAACATACAAATTTGTTGCATATATGAGATGATCACCAGACAAATCAGAAATCACTTTATTACATCATAGCTATAGTTGTATCATTAAAACTCAAGTTTTGATGTTCACTAGTATAAAAAAAAATACATATTTCTTCCAGTTTGAGCAAGGCCAGTGCGTAGAACACTTGCACGTTCTAGCCAGGAGAAAGAAGATTATGTAAATATACTATTCCAAAAGCAGACAAAGGACTCCATTCAGATATTTTATTTCACTGCTATACACACACCTAGCCTTCATTTACATTCCATATCATCTTCCTCTCAGGTTTGCCTTAAACCTTCCAGAAAAGCAACGACAACACCACCAAACAGATCAATAAATCAGAACAAATGGCTGTGGCCGTGGCTAGCCAGAGTGTCACCTGGATGGACAACCCAAACAAATCCAACCTCGGATCACCTCTGGGACAAACAGAAGCAGCGTAAAGATGTCAAAGGAACTTGGTGCTGTCAGTCACATTTCCCAAAAAACTAGTGTTGTGATCAAAAAAAACAGTGGAAAAAAGAAAAGTGAGGCTGGTGCAGCGATGGCTGTCAAAGCCAGTGGGCAACCAGGAGAAAGTGTGATGGTGCCAGTGCTCACGGGGTTTGCCCTGTGCCCCAGCTGGGGCGGCTCCTGCTGCTGTCACCCCACCGACACCCCTGATGAGAGCAGCCAGGCGAGTCCAGCTCAGCCGGGGGAGTTTTGCTTCCAGGACCGT